TCTTATATAAAGATTGCATCATTATTTTAAGACTATGCAAACAATTTTTTAACTAATTTTATTATAGGGAAGATGCTAAGGCCTATTGCTCAGTATTGTCTTTCAATCGAGAAAAGATCGGCACAAAAGACTATGTGATGATTTCTAGCCTCTGAGACATCTAGATCAGAGGACTGGTCAATACACTGGGAGATACCTTTCAGTCAGCAAACATCAATGTAGTAGTTGTCATCCTTGGCTATCTCTGATAAGGTTTCTTCCCTTCACCAACCTTTGCTCTAATAGGCAGTCAAGAGGCCCAAAACTTACTGCACCCTAGAGGAAACTTTGACAGGTGCTATATATCCTAGGATATCTTGGCTTCACTCACCACTTATATACATTATAATTTTCCATTGAGCATTGGAAGTGAAGGAGCCCAACATCACATGGAGGTACCTATTTCATTCTAGACATTTATATTAAGCCTCACAACCATGCTGTCCTGTAGGTAAGCCTCTCCTCCACTTTTCTAGAGATGATATAGACTTTTACCTGTGCTCAGGATCCAGGGTGACCCACCATCAGACTTGGTATGTCTTTGTATTATAAAGAATTATACCATTTCCCTGGTACAAAAGGAAGCCAAGCTATTCATCTGCAGTCAAGTGGTTGGTGAATAGCAGAGCTGTGGATCAGACTCTAATCTGTCTTTTTCAAAAGCTCATGCACTTTAACAGACAACCAAGCTTGTCCCTCTTAAGGGAAGGATGTGAGGCAAGCAGAAGGCCAAGGTGGAGGAGGAGTGCTGCTCCATGCAGGAAAATATCCCGGATTTGGAGGAAGAACATGCCTTGACAGTGTAAGAGGCCAAGGATCCCTCTGAAGGAAGGGCACTGTTTACTAAAAATATCAGCAATAATGACTATTGTTGAGAGAAAAGTGGATTAGCACAAACTGAGAAATTCAGGCAAGTAGAATATAGACCTAGGCAAGTCCGACTGTTTATCTCAGGGTTTTCTAGAAGTCAGGCATCCCTGGCCACAGCTCCATTCCACCTGTACAATTAATATTCTCCATTTTATCAACTCATACCTTTATACCACTTGGTCCTAAGCAATAATATACATGAATTTTTGGACTGATGTGCTAATTACACACATAGCACATGACAATGAATACTTTTAAATATTTACCAGTGTACCCTCTAACATCAATCATCTCATTTCCCACGTGTGTACACATTTCGTAATTGGTACACAGCTTTATCTAGAGCTGTAACTCAAACAATTCTACCTTGAAAAAGGTTTTCACGGAAGAATAAAGGACCCAAGGACAATAGAAAAAACAAAGCCCAAGATCAATAATTTGGCCATATTTATCAAATTCTGCACTGCACAATAGAGAGACGAAATCATGCAGGTACAGTGCTCTCTTCGTTATGAAATGGTGCTCTAATTGTTTGCCAAGAGAGTTCCTCAAATTTTCCACTAAACTGGTGAAAGATGTAATTCTTGTGATCCCCGATTTCTCTTTGCTCTGATTTCATGAGTAAAGCAAGATGTTAAAAGGTGATGTCTTCTATTTCAGTTTGGGTAAGGGTCCCTGAAAAATAGGGAGTTGCCAATGAGTTGCTGTCCCCCCAAGCAGAACTTGGTCAAAAGAAATGAAACCCTGAGTTGTAGTTCTAATGCCTTCACCTTTGGGAGTAAGGAAAACAAACAAGATGTTCTGGCCCATTGTGAACATCACAGAGGGGTGAGAGCAGTACTGGATCCACACTGACACCTTGATGAATAGGACTGACGTTCCTTCCTGAGATAATTTTTTACCTTGTGCAGTGCTCTATGCTACATATTTTACACACACATGTATATTACCACATTAAATTTCCCCCACAAAACTGTTATGTATCTATATGTTATTATCAGTATTTTAAGGATTAGAAGACAGAGGCATAGAGAGGATGAGTAACTGCCCAACTCTAATGATAAGAGTCTCTTATAGGTGTCAGGACTGGTACCTGGGCAAGGCACCTGGACTGTACCACAGAACTTATATCATCATTTCATTTACAAAAATGTCAACCTACGTATGTAGTTAGTTAATTTCCTGTGAGCCATGAGATCTCAGTTAACACCTCCATATGCTCAGTATGCAATGGGTCAATTTCACTTGAAGGCAACTTTCCGAGATCTTAGGAAAACGCTTTTTATCATCCCTCTTCAGACATATGTCTCTATAATTCCATCTGAGCTCTCTTTCTCCCCTCTATAGGAAGAGGAAGAACTTGTTATAGTGGAGGAAAAAAAGAAAGACTCAGTCCTTTCCTATTTCATTCCAGAAACTTGATCAAAAACGTCAAGTTCTGTTTTTGTTCAATGGTCTTCAGTGGAGATAGGTAGGAGCTCCACACAAGAAGGCAGGCCTGGGGCCACCTTGCTGACTCCAAGAGACCAGGGAGAACACATCCACCAAATGTCTTTTAAACTTAGGTTTGGTTAATCTCACTCCATTCGCTGCCATTAAATTAACCTGCACCATGTTATTACCACAGTCCTTCAAGCGATACCAGCGAGCAGTGTGCATTGTCATTCCATAGACACCTGCTGCATTAGGAAAGCCGTGTGCAGGAAGGTATTGACAGTTGGCATCTCCCTATCAGCAGATGTTGCAAGAGTACCACAGCTGAAGCAAGCGAAAGCGTTGAACATCACATTTTTGAACATGGGCCCGGTAAAAGGAGACATTGATCAACTCCAAGGCCAGTGTTCTCAACAGTGGTTTTACCACAAATGCAGAAACCTTTTTCCTGGGATAATATCTTACAATGTTCTTAGATTCCAAACAACGATTTAATGATACTAGAGCATAGTTCTTGCTCTCCTCCTCAGTGGAAGTATGGATCAGGTCCGGAATCGTGCCACTGAATTTGGCTGCAAGGGAAGTTATGCCAATGAAACAACAGAAAGAGCCCATGAGAACTGGCTTTTGTCTTTTAAAGACAAAATCATGCTGAAGTTATAATGTACTTTGGTTAACATAGGCTTATATTTATTCCTGCTTTATATAAAGAAGTCCTCTCCAAAAGGCCTCAAATACCAACCTAGATCATTCGTACTAGTCCTGGAGGCAAAGGAGGGCAGTTGAAAATGTATAGAGGAAACAATCAGAAAAATCTGAGAAGATGTGCTCTGAATACATTTTAAGGAGAAGCACGGTTGTAAATGAGGCAGAACGTTGTGTGAGTCACTCCTCAGGACACTTGTAACAAGCCTGATGGGACATAAACACGATTGTCTGCAGGAGCCAGGCAGGTGTCATCATTGAGTGAATCAGTAGGTAGGAGCAGAGTCACTGGAGACCCCTGAACTATTCGCCCCTTCAACAGAGGTGGTGGCCACTCAGCTCTAATTGATCCCTTGTGGTAATGGAGAATGTGCGACAATCAACATATTCCGATTTCTTTAAATAAGACAGGAATGCAAATTTTTATGTGAACTATCCGAATTTGAAGAGATAATATCCAAAACACAATACTATTAGTAACACTGTATATGCTGATCAGAACAGGTTTTTGACCCAGATACACCCCTTGTGACTGCAGGATACATGTTTTACCTCATATTATAGACACTTGAGTACAGGTCTTTCTACCCAAAGTGGCTGTCAGCAACACAGAGGAGGGACACTGCATCTAATTAAGTTTTTTCATCCTCATCACTTATAAAATTTATTTTGACAAAACATACATTTAAAAAAATTTGCTTCATGATAAAATATATTAGTGAATCTCAACAGGAACAGGATTTTAAGGCAGAGTGCTATTAGCTCTGCACTGAGTCCTGACTAGGTCACCATTGTGTCCCTGTTGACATGAAGACATCAACATTAAGATTATTGCATTTCCAGAAGACAGTAATAGAGAAAGATAGTAGGGGCCAGCCCTGTGGCGTAGCAGTTAAGTGCGCACGCTCAGCTGCTGGCGGCCCGGGTTCGGATCCTGGGCGCCCACCGATGCACCGCTTGTCAGGCCATGCTGTGGCGGCGTCCCACATAAAGTGGAGGAAGATGGGCATGGATGTCAGCCCAGAGCCAGTCTTCCCGAGCCAAAAAAGAGGAAGATTGGCATGGATGTTAGCTCAGGGCTGATCTTCCTCACAAAAAAAAAAAAAAAAAAACACGAAAAAGAAAGGTAGTAAAAAGTGATCTGGATTAATTTTGTTGGAAGATGATATGATACCATTGAAGGGTCTAATTCAGTTTCCTAACCTAGAAGCTGGACCAGAGATTTAACATCTCTTAGCTCGAGGCCTTTCCCACCTCGATGCACGTCCTTCTTCTGCACAATCTCCTTAACAGGACACCATTGTTCATTCTCTGGCAGGTTTTACAGAAAGACTTTCCTTTGGGTGTTTTCAGGTTATGCTGCTTCACAGGAAGTGAAGGCAAAAATCAGGCCATCGTTAAAACAAGAGAAAGTGAATTCAACGTGTGGGACCAGAAGAAACAACAAGCAACTCAAAGATATATAACAAACTACTTTAGATCCCTGCAGGATTTTGAGCAGCAAGAAATTCAGGGTCAAGTTTCCAGCACAGGGAGGTGATGAGACGGAGAACATCTGCTGAAAGGAAACCAGGGAGATACTAAAATCGCAAGTGGACCTGGGTTCCTCCTGTACAAACAGCGCACCCTGGCTCCATTTGTTCCAAGTCCTGGGCCTGCCTTTATGCACTTCAGTCCCTCAGTGCCCTGCCCCAAGTTGAGTTATAAAATCTGTGGCCATTCTGCAGCCAATGTATATTTTTCAACGGAGACCAGAACCATTGAGAGAGCTCTGCCCTGCACAGGATGCCTGGAACTAGCTTTGTTACAACAGAAGCAGCAGCTGTGCTGTTCTTGGGTGTGTGTTGACTGGAAAATGATCAACAAAGAGGCTAATCGCACAAGTGGGCCGTGTGCCAGTCTGTGGGTTTCTTCATTTCCTAGACTCAGATCCCCCCGTCTCTGCTGGCTCCACCCACAGGGGCTGCTCTACATCTCCAGTCCCAAGTAGCGGGGAGACCAGCAGCCCCTGAGCCCCAGGACAACCAGCTGAGTCTGTTCTCACAGGAGCCATGGCGCAGAGACTGGGTAAGAGAATGAGCCCTAGAGCTGGGACAGGAAGGACCGCGATGGGACAGCAACTGCAGGAGGGCTGAGGTGAAGTTAGTGACCAGGACACATGACAGATTTGGGGGAGGGGAGGGGAAAGGAAATAAGATCCAGAGTCACAACAGAGGGTCCTGCAGGGTGAGTGAGAAGGGAGCGTGTCATTACTGGGCCAGACGCAGGACATACTTCTCTTCTCTTTTTACAGGAAGCATGGTTCCAACACAGCAGGATTCCTGGCTTTGTCTCCTTCTGCTGCTGGGGCTCTTGGGAATGGTGATCTCATTCCATGTCCCACGAGGGTTAACCGGGGCTCAGTGGTTTGCAATTCAGCACATAAATATGACACACGACCGATGCGATGATGCAATGAGAGTGGTTAATTGGTATAGGAATAGATGCAAAGATGAGAACACATTCCTCAACACGACGTTTGCTTTTGTAGCTAATGTTTGTAGGACTGCAAATGTATCCTGCTCTAATGGCTTAACGAATTGTCATAATAGCCCAGTTCGGGTAAATATAACATACTGCAACCTCACAGCACCGGCACCACAATATACAAAATGTAGATATGTACAGACACAGGCACAGATGTACTTCAGAGTTGCCTGTAACAACAGTTCACCAGGGGACAATGGCACCTATCCAGTGGTTCCAGTTCACTTGGATGCGATCTTCTAACCTCTGGGTCAGCGCTTTGTGCCAAGCTCATCTGCCAAGCCACACAGTCACAGCCACGGTCCCATGCCACCATCCACCCCGGATATCAGCATCAGTCATCATCGCGCCAGCCCTCGACCCCCTCTAAGCTTTGCTGAGCTGAAGCTCCTTGTTCTTCTTGCAATAAACTTCCTTACAAAATCGTCTCGTAGACTATGTGTCTGTTTTTGCCCCTCTCCTGTCATTCAGTCAGAATCGGTTGGGAAATCTTTTCCAACCTTCTAATCTGAGGTTTGTGGGATATAGAGAGAAATGAAGAGAAGCAGCTCCTTGTGTTGTGAAGCAGCACAGATTTTTTCCCTCTCTCTCCTTCAGGCTGAGAGGCTGAAGCCTCAATTTGTATCTGCCTCTTTGCCTCCCAGAAGGTAAAGGGCCACAGGGAATAACTACAAAGCTTATGTGATTGATTCTGTCTGATTCATGAATCATAAATTCAAGTTAGAAGGGAACCTGGTTGTACAAAAAAGAAAGGAAAAGACAAAAAGAATGCCATCAATATCATGAGATCAAGAAAATTTCACCCTCAGGATTATTTTTTCAAAATTGGTGCATCAAATCTCCAAGTATGAGTAATTATACTAGGGGTGACCCATGGCCCAAGTCAAATGTGGAATAAAATAAATTGTCCGGGGAGCAATGTGTACCTAATCTAGTAATGAGGAGAAGAGGTGGGAATCTCTCCCAGAAAATTCTACGTCCTGGAGAAGGGGGTAGCCAGTCACCTGGAGGAAGAAGGGAAAGGAGGAGAACAGGGAATTGGGTCTCATCGGGGATGAGTCACTCTGGCCCATTCTGGCATCCATGGCTGTCTCCAAGGGTGAATCAGTGGCTCATTCACACTCAGGTCAGGAAGGAGCCCAGGCTCCAGGATTATGGAATTGTAGACCCACAGAAAGAAGGGGTGAATAATGAGAACCCCTTGCCCCACCTCCATCACAAGGCTGCACTCAGGAATCAGTGAGGAACAGGAAGGGAAAGCCCCTACAGGCTGTGTTCAGATGCAGCATTCAAGGGATTGCTCTGGTGACAGTGTGGGTTTTTTTGGGGTGCCTGACTCAGAAAGACCTGAGGGAGCATGTCACCGAATCTGTACTTTTGTCCTTGGCCTTGGGAGTCCTGACCTCCCTGACCAGAGATGGTGTTTCCATCCCAAGCACCACTCCACCATGGCTTAAGTCTTGCTCTTCGTAGTATTACAGACAGCAGCTGCATTTAAGCATCTCCTCTGCAGAAGCCATGGGTGGCTTTGCACCTCCAGGAGTGTCTGTTGACTGAAGATATTGTACGGGGACTCTGGTTTTGGAAAATTGCAGTACTCAACTGAACCCATGGACTTTAGGTAAAATAAGTCATGGCATAAGTATGTTCATCCTTCATATAGACACAGAACAGCAGGAGGACGCTGGACACAGAGGAGATGGAACCACATGTCCTGTGAAGAACACGGTCACTTCACTCACCAGATCATATGCCTCATCCCAGTCAGGGACAAGCATCTCCCACACCCCAGAAGAGGGCTGATCAGTCACCCACCTGTCCCAAGCTCCCTCCACCTTGTCTTCATCCCTTCTCCCAGTTGTTTCTTCATCCATCCAGTACATATCTATTGGGCACACTGTGTGTCCCAGGCACTATTCTAGGTACTGATGTTGCAAAGCAAACAAAGACAGGTTTTGCTCTCACGGTGCCACATTCTCCTGGGGCTAAGTACTAAACATATAAGGTTATTTTTCCCAGTGATAAGTGTCATGAGGAAAATAAGACAGAGTAATATGATGGAAAGGGTCTGGATGTGTCACAGAAGTGACAGCAGAGGGTAGGCAGGCAAGACTCCTCCAAGGGAACAAAATCTGAACAAGATGAGAACTAGCTGGTCACACAGTGACCAGGAGGAGAATCACTCCAGCAGAGAGAAGAGCATGTTCAAAGGCCCTAAAGTAGACACAGGCTTGGCATGGTGGAAAAATAAAAGTCTACTGCAACAGGACTAGAGCATTGACAACCAGGAGCATTAATGATGGAGGCTGATGAGATTCAGACCCTTCAGGGCTGTGGAGACGTGAAGAGGGTTTCTAATTGAGGGTCAAATGGAGTGTTTAAATGGTAGGTTAAAGTGCCCTGAGATTAATTTGGCTGCTGTGCCAAAAATGAATGTTTCCTCACCTTTTCGCTGGGGCCTAGCTTCTGACGGAATTCAGATCCAGACTCTCTTTCTGGTTTCTCTAAGGCATCCTGACCCTCACTCAATCCTTGTAACAGCATATACATTCCTAAAGTACATGAATTTTCTGTCTATACTATTACATTCCATTTTGATCAGATTGCATTTGACTAAGAGGGATGGAAACGTGGCCATAAAAAAGTCCTAACTAATCAATAGGCCCAACATCCTCTAAAAGTGGGAAAAAGGGGCCAGTCGAATCTCCCTAAAGAAAGAAGCTCTGCGCCTTCCTTTACTGACTGTTCCCCTATCCGATCCCGTTGTTCTTCACAACTGCTTCTCAACTTTACCATAAACCTCCTCTCATTCCTTGACATAGAACTTGCCCCCTTTTTCTAGCCGGAAGGATGAGGTGGATTGACTAATACCTATAACTTATTCTGTATAGGTGTGTTCTCTAATCTCACATTTACATCATTACTTAAATCTCCACAGTTGAAAGTATGAACATTTGGAGTTTAAATAAGTACAATCTTAAGTCTTCCCTTGTATAACTCTGACCCAGAAAAATGTCTCAAGTTCCTCCGTGAGAACAGTCCATCAGGATACGCACTTCCTGTTGCACACGGTCCTGGGTTGGATGCCTGGCCAACAAGTTTCTCATCTCTGTGCCTTGATCTGGTTTCTCTTTGGTCTCACTGGTGGCCCAAGTGGAGGAAGGGGGTGTACGCTGAGACTCACAGACTGTGTAGATCAGACATTGTCACTTCAGCAAACATCAAGCTCCTATCAAGACCTCAGAGCAGTGTGAGGCTTTGGGCGTGTGGAGATAGTGTCAAGATGGCTCCTACTGCTTCAGGGGAACTGGGAAAAGACTGAGAATCCCCTACAGGTTATGTTTGAAGGGGTCGTTCCCATAGTTGTGGATCCTCGCAGCAGAAGTGAAACCTGAGTCTCTTCTCCCCCTCTCCAATCCTGGAGCACAGACATTGTGCAAAGACCCTACACAGGTAGTAGTCGGATGGTGAGTCATGATGAAAGCACATAAGAACTAGTGATTTCCTTGGACAAATTGCCTACAAGGAATCACTTCGTGATATCATTTCACAAAGCACAGTGCATGTCCATATTTCTGATTGTGGTATTGGGCCATGGCATGATCTCAACTAAGGGAATAGAATTTCCAGGGCAAGAGGCTGTGGGATTTAGTCCAGATCTTCCACTACCTGGCTGTGGAATTTTGGAATGTTGGGATGCAACATTCTGTTCATCATTTACAAATGATGGTACAAATTTTAGTACAAATTCTTGTACTAAATGATCTTCCAGCTCAGATACTTTTCAGTTCTTTGAGTTCATAAGTAGGGAATGATTTTCTGTGTGCAGGTGTCTATGTTATTAAAGAGGTGTATGTGCGGTATTTGGGTGCATATTCATAAATTGTCTGATGATTATATTGGCTTTTTCTTATAAGAGTCATGAATTTGATAGAAGAAACATGACTAATAAAACTAAATAATTGCATATGCATAGTTTATTATTACTTTAAGATTCCACATTAAAATTAAAATATATTTACAGTAGGGAAGCTGTTTTTTGTTGTTGTTCTTATTTTTTGGTGGTGTTTTTTTGGTGAGGAAGATTGGCCCTGGGCTAACATTTGTTGCCAATACTCCTCTTTTTGCTTGAGGAAGATTGTCTCTGAGCCAACATCTGTGCCAGTCTTCCTCTACTTTATATATGGGATGCTGACACAGCATGGCTGGATGAGGGGTGTGTAGGTCTGCACCCAGGATCTGAACCCATGAAGCGTGGGCAGCCAAAGCAGAGTGCTGGAACCTAACCACTACGTCACTGGACCAGCCCCAGGAAACTGTTTTGATCTGACTCTCAGAACTGTCTTTGCATTTGGGTGAGATGAAAACCTAGCACAAAAGCTTGAGGAATTATTTCAATACCTAGGAATAAGAGATGGTGAAACCATCTGGATTGGTGGACTTGCGGAAAACCTAGAGAGATCAGTCACTCATCAGGTACAAATTTATCTGATACCCCTGGGACAGAAACACTGTTTCTTCTTCCTTTCAATTATGTCTTGTCTAATAGAAAAGCAAGACAGCAAACACTGTTTGTCTTAAAAAGAAGCCACGGGTAAGTGGTATCCATAGAACCCCACACTCAGGTCACTCAATCTGTCTCACTGAGATATTTCAGAACAATCCCTAAGGACCAATAGCCAACTTTCTTGCACAATAAGTTATATGATCAAACACTATAAAACCCATGAGTAGCTCTTTCTGCCAACATGCCTGCAGAGTGCCCCATGTGAAAAACTTTCTATGACTAGTTTCTATTACAATCACCTGGGGAGGTCTTCACGCTATGGATTCTTGGGCTCCACTCCAGATGTACTGACACAGAATGTCTGGATGCAGAGCTCAAGATTCAGCACGTCCAAATCTTTCTTCAGGTGGTTCCAACATAACCTGTCCCCAGCCTGACATTTGGGACCCACTTTTATCTGACCGGGACTTCAGAAGCCTATGATGGAAATTGGTAACGTCTTGATATTGGGGCTATTCCTAGGTGAGAGGAAGCAGAGGTACTACTGGCCTTGGGGCCCCAAGACAAGTCCAGCTATGAACACGTCTAATCAACCACCTATATCCTGGGATAGGCCTCTGTTAACTTGACCCAGTCAGCACGTGAGTGCACACAACTGACCTACCTGTCATGGAGATATTTTCCCCTTAAGTGAAAGGAGAAATAGTTGAAGGTTTTGACTGAGACCCACTATGTGGAATAAAATGCCCCAGCCTCATTGCTATATCACATGTGCCTAGAACAGTACCTGGCGCTGAGCAGATGCTCAATAAAGTTTTTGAACAAATGAAGAGATACAGATTGTATTACTTTTTTATTTTTGCATAATAAATTACCATAAACTTAACAGCTTAAAAACAACATACAATTATTATC